AAAAAAATCAGTCTTTTTTAAAGCCCATATATATTCTTATAAAAATTCGAATGTAGAAATTCATGGAGTAAAAATGTGAAGCCTGCATACAGATATACACATACAGCTATAGAAACATTTCACCCCATTGTAGTCCCGTCTTAGAAATAGCCATGGCTGGTAGTTCCCATACCGTCTATATGCACTTACTTATATGTATGTACTTTTGCAATAGTTTTAAAAATATATAAGTAGTATCATACATTCATATTGTTTCACAACTTTTTCTTTACACTTCATACTACGAGTTGGGATCGTTCCGTGTCAGTACATGTGCGCTCCCAAGGGTAGAAACCTCTACCCTTGGAAGACAACCACAGTGGTCAACATCTGTTAAACTTACAGCCTTCCGCCTGCAGGCACTCCTAATCTTTTCTTGCTTTGGGCTATAGTGCAACATCGCTGGTTTGAGAGAGCAGCCAGAACCTTTGGGAGGAAATCCCAAAGAAGAATTGAGGCACAAAAAATTTAGGTATAATCCAGCTAAATCTTTGGCTAATGGCTAAACTCTGCATATATGAGGGAGAACTCAGTTGGCCTGGCACAAAAGCATCATCTGGAGGTTGAAAAAAACAGAGATTACAACTGCTGCCCACTGCCAGGGCAACAGACTTTGAGCTTGGGTCTAGCCAAGTTGAATGCCTACTAGAACAAAAGTCACTTTTTATAGGAACGTAACAGAATCTAGAGACTTTATAATGTATCGTTCATAATGTCCAGTATCCAGTCATGTGATGAAACCAGGAAAGTGTGTCCATATTCAAGAAAAAAAGCAGTCCATAAAAACTGACCCCAAAATAACCCAGAAGTTACAGTTAGCAGACAAGCACTTTAAAGCAGCTATTATAAATGTTTAAGGATTTAAAGGGAAATATATGTGTAAAGAATAAACAGATTGAGAATCTCAGAAACTATATAAAAAAAGAAAATGGTAATACTAGAGCTGAAAGATACAGAACATGTAATTTTTTTTTTTTTTTTTTTGGCGGTACGCGGGCCTCTCACTGTTGTGGCCTCTCCCGTTGCGGAGCACAGGCTCCGGACGCGCAGGCTCAGCGGCCATGGCTCACGGGCCCAGCCACTCCGCGGCATGTGGGGTCTTCCCGGACCGGGGCACGAACCCGTGTCCCCTGCATCGGCAGGCGGACTCTCAACCACTGCGCCACCAGGGAAGCCCCGAACATGTAATTTTTTAATTTACCTGATGGGCTTACAAGCCGATTGGAGGTGGTAGAAGAAAAAGGCAGTGGATTTGAATAGAAATGATCCAAGCTGAAGAACCAGGAGGAAAAAGATGAAAGAAAGAGAGCCTCGGAGACCAGTGAGACAATGTCAAGTGGTCTAACACATGTGTAATTTGTGTCCCAAAAGAAAAAGAGAGTGATAATAATGCAGAAAAAAATATCTCAAGAAATGAAGGCTTGAGGCCACCCAAATTTAGTGAAGAACATCAATTTATAGAGCCAAGAAGATCGACAAATCCCAAATAAGATAAAGAAAAATGAAGCCACACCTAGGCACATCATAATTAAATTGCAGAAATCGAAAGATAAAGAGAAAATCTTAAAATCAATTAGATAAAACCCAAATTACACACAGAAGAACAATGGTATGAAGGATGGCTTTTTTTTAATCAGAAACAATGGAGGCCAGAAGGCAGTGGAGCGGCATTTTTAAAGTGCTGGAATAAAAGTATCAACCCAGAGTTCTACAGCTAGTCTTCAAAAATGAAAGTAAGTCAGAAAGAGGAAAACAAATACCGTATGCTAACACATATATATGGAATCTAAAAAAAACCAATGGTTCTGAAGAACCTAGGGGCAGGACAGGAATAAAGACTCAGACGTAGAGAATGGACTTGAGGGCACGGGGAAGGGGAAGGGTAAGCTGGGACGAAGTGAGAGAGTGGCAAGGGCATATATACACTACCAAATGTAAAACAGATAGCTAGTGGGAAGCAGCCGCATAGCACAGGGAGATCAGCTGGGCGCTTTGTGACCACCTAGAGGGTGGGATAGGGAGGGAGGGAGAGAGACGCAAGAGGGAGGAGATATGGGGATGTATGTATATGTATAGCTGATTCACTTTGTTATACAGCAGAAACTAATGCACCATTGTAATTATACTCCAATAAAGATGTTAAAAAAATGGAATAACAGTAATGGTAAAAAAAAAAAAAAAGAAAATGAAATAGAGACGTTTTCAGATAAACACCTGCATCACAAGAAGTATTTAAGGAAGTTTGTCAAGTTGAAGGGAAGTGGCCCCACAGGGTAACCCAAAGGTAATGGAAGGATTGAAGGCCATTGGAAATGGTAAATGTAGAAGGCTATATTTTATTTTCTTCTCTAATTTCTTTACATGTGTCTGTTCAAAACAAAGCAAACAAAAAACTTTACCACTCTATTGTGGCAAGCATAATGTATGACATAATATATATGACAACAATTGAACAAAGGATGGAGGAACAAATGGAAATATATAGTACGTGAAGAAATATACTGTTAACTCTAAATAAGCTGTCCTTGGAGAACCCATTAAAACTGCAGTCCTTGGAGAACCCATTAAAAATGCACACATTTTAGCTAAAAGCCAAAAGATTAAAATAGAATACCAGAATTATTGAACAGCCCAAAGAAGGCAGGAAAGGAAGAGCAGATGGAACAAGAGAAAGGTGTGACAAATAGAACAAAATAGTAATTGGCACACTCAGTCCAAACATGTCAATAAATACATTAAAGGTAGAGGATTAAATACTCTAAATAGAAGACAGTAATTATTAGAATGGGTTCAAAAGCAGAGCCCAACCATAATTGTCTAAAAGAAAGCACTAGAAATACAAAGACAAAATAGGTTCAACATAAAAGGATGGAAAAATACGTACCATGCAAACTTCATTAAAATCAAAACTAATGCTTATAAAAGGCAATGTTACAAAGATGAATAGGCAACCTACAGAATAGGAGAAAATATTTGCAAAACTACCTCATAAAGGATTTGTATTCAAAATATATAAAGAACTCAACAGTACAAAGATAAAGATCCCCATAAATATAAAAATGGGCAAATACTTGAACAGATACTTTCCAGAAGAAGACATATGAATGACTCTTAAGTACATGAAAAACTGTTCAGTGTCATTAGTTAACAGGGAAATGCAAATTAAAACCACAATGAGATACCATTGTGGTTTTACATCCCAACCGGGTTGGCTAAAATAACTGACCGCACTAAATGGTGGCAAGGATGTGATGCAACCAAAGTGCTCATCCCTTGAGAGGTAAAAAATGCTACAACCGCTTGGGGCAAAAATTTTGGTAGTTTCTTATGAAGTTAAACATCTACATCTACCCTTGGCCCAGCAATTGCATTCCTGGATATTTATGCAAGAGAAATGAAAATACATGTCCCCAAAGAGACTTATACAAAATTGTTCATAGCAGCGTTATTCGCAGAAGCCTGGACTGGAAACAAGCCAAATGAATATCAGCAGGAGAATAGGTGAACAAACTCTGGTTTCCACACCCCAGAATACTACTTAGCAACGTCAGGGAACAAACCACTAATACACACAGCAACATGAATGTATCTCAGAAATTGTACTAAGCAAGAGAAGTCAGACACAGAAGAGGACACACCGTATAATTCCATGTATATGAAGCTCTAGAATAAAACTAAGGTGAAATTTTTTAGAAAAATGGCATGAGGAGCCAGCAGATTGACTGACAAGGGATACAGGAATTTTGTGGGAAATGATTCTATTATAATCATAGGAGTGTGGCTCACACGGGCAGATCCATTTTTCAAATTTTTACAGCTAAGACTTGTGCATTTCAGAGTATTGACTTTATCTCCCCCAAACCTGTAAAATGATAATAATAATAATAATGCAGGTGGTGAGCATTGGGTAGTGATATTGATAGAACAGTAAAATGATGATAATTGTTGAAATTGGATGCATACATAGAGGTTCATTACATTGTTCTGTTTACTTTGTATATGCTTGAAATTTTCCATGAATTAAAAGTTACAGATGGACTTCCCTGGTGGCACAGTGGTTAAGAACCCACCTGCCAATGCAGGGGACACGGGTTCGAGCCCTGGTCCGGAAAGATCCCACATGCCGCGGAGCAACTAAGCCCGTGCACCACAACTACTGAGCCTGAGCTCTAGAGCCCGTGCGCCACAACTACTGAGCCCACGTGCCACAGCTACTGAAGCCCTCATGCCTAGAGCCTGTGCTCCACAACAAGAGTAGCGCAATGAGAAGCCTGCGCACCGAAACGAAGAGTAGCCCCCATTCGCCACAACTAGAGAAAGCCCCTGTGCACCAACGAGGACCCAACACAGCCAAAAATAAATAAATAAATATATATATTTTAAAAAGTTACAGAAATTACTCCAGGCTCAATTTTTATAACACATTGTCTTAAATTTCGAGACTTCTTTTAAGAATGATTAGCTTCTGTGTCACAGAAATATTTTTATTAAAGTATATTAATTCCTTTCAGTGTTTCTTTGTTAGTTAAGTCCAAGTAAAATTAAATGTAAAACTTGTATTAAAATGGCTTTCTAAAATTATTTCTGTGAACCTTTTTGTATTGAGTTGACCAAAAAGTTCACTTGGGTTTTTCCGTAAGATGTTACAGGCAAAACCCAAACGAACTTTTTGGCCAACCCAATACATATGCATAGAGATTGGTCTGAAATGATGTTTGTCACATGTTCATTGTGGTTAGTGGGATTTGAGGTAATCTTACCCCGAATTTAATTTTAATTTTTTTTCCCCCCACCAATGAAGAAACCGCTTTTACTAGGAGTCTAGGCGTATTTGGGAAACCCAGTTTAGTCCCAGAGAAGTGAGGCTAATATGGGCACAGAGCAGGAATCTAGCACTGCAGAATTTTCTCTTGAAGACCAAGTGTGAAACTAAACCTCCACCTTAATATCCTAACAATCAGAAATGCTGCTGAGTTTAGCTGTGGTGAAACTTCTGGAAGCTCCTAGTGAAATAATGAGACTTGTGCATAAAGGGAGAACCTCCAGCACTGCTGAGTCTGAGCTCTACATGAGGTTATGGGTCTGGGGTGGGAGGAATAGAGGAAAAGGTAAGGGGATGGTCTCATCCCCACACAAGGCCATCTCAGTGTGCAGGTAAGGGAGGAACCATGGGTTTGGGGACAGAGGGCAGCAGAGGGACACTGGCTGACGAAGCACAGTCCCTGTCATAACGCACAGGGCCTGTGCTGTCTGGTGTGAGGGCACCTCCAGCAGGTCCTGGCAACACCCGGTGGCACCCCTTCCTGAGGCCCTTGGGAGAGAGCCTTCCTGGATCTGTTCTGAGTTCATTCAGAGCAGAACTGCTCATGCCTGGTGGCAAGTCCAGCATCATGGTTAGCTGCGCGGGACAGAGCGGCCCCCCTGTGACACCTATACCTGTTAGTCCAGGAGACTTTTCTGGAGCAGTCACTTTCTCAGACCAAGAGGGAGCTTGCCCAACACAGGCCCAATCTAGAAATCACTCCCACCTTCTTTAATGCTTTTCTGTATTGCTGAAAATTTATAAACATGTATTGTTTTTACAAACAAAATTATTCTTAAAAATTGTGAAAGATGTATAGTATAAAAAGTTTTCTAGGAATGAGAGTTGTCTATAACAGCTAATTCAGATTTTGTCAATGGACATGGACAAAAATAGTATTAGTAAATAATACCCCTGCCTTGAGAGTTCTAATGAGCCTGCATGATTTCTGAACGAGTGCATGCCCAAATGTTTTGTCTCGTCCAAAAAAATGGGAAAAAGGAAGGAAGCTATGGCCCTGATTTCACTCCTTCTCTCTTTTGTGCTGATATGTCAGGTAACCTAGAGATCATTTTGTGTGTGTGTGTGTGTGTGTGTGTGTGTGTGTGTGTGTGTGTGTGTGTGTTAGGGAAGGGGGTGGGTTTACAGGAGACTAACCATTTTTTTAAGAGAAAATTTAAAAGCATCTGCCATTGTCTTTATTATAGTATCAATATTCCAAATTCCTAATTTCCCCATGGTTGCATTGCCATAAACTTGGATTTTCTTTTTTCATTTTTAATAACTTCAGGGGATCAGTACTGTGGAGGACTCCTTGAAAGACCTTCCGGCTCTTTTAAAACCCCCAACTGGCCAGACCGTGATTACCCTGCAGGAGTCACTTGTGTGTGGCACATTGTAGCCCCAAAGAATCAGGTGAGATTCCCTGAAAACATGAAGAAAGTATGCATGTGTGCATTAGTGTGAACTGTTAAAGATATGGGGTGAGGAAGACCCCCTGGACACAGTATATCTTCATGCAAAGGCCCAGGTTAAAATTGCCTTTGTGCCATATGACTTGCAAAGTCACGGATTTAATTTCCTATTATAGAATTGTAATTTTCAAAACAGGTTTTAAAGTACAAATGGTCTGCAAATTCCACATGAGATTGTTTAACCCCGTGGAAGATGTTGTAAGCATGGGGTTATAAGCAGCAGTGACTAACCATGGGAGCATAACAAATCCCCAAGTACATGTGCACTTCTGGTTACCATTTGCTCACAGAGCATTATGTCCTGATAATGGCCCTCTTAGTGACCAAATCAGAAACAGCCTGAATGCTTCACTTCAACAAAGCCAATGCAAGCGTACCACATCATCTTTTCTAAGAACATCTTTTCTAAGAATGGTCTGATGAGAAAACTGGTGGTGTGTGGTTTTTTTTTTTTTTGGTTGTTGTTTAAAATAAAATTTGTGTAGGTTCCCCACAAATAACTTTATTCATTGCTCTAAAACAGTCAACAGAGAAGTTTTCCATTGTTTATTAGTAGGTGGTTATATGAATTTTTACCCTTTTTGGGGACCACTTTCAGATATTAATCACAGGGTAGAACTTAGTGTGAGAATAGACCAAGCTTACATTGTGGACTTCTGAAAATAACTTTTAAAAAATTGTTATTCTTACAAACATTATAGACTTAAATCAAAACACTGTATGGTGAGCATTATAACACTGTTAAAAAAACTTTTCTAAATTGATCTTTTGTATTGCTTACACAAATATTATTTGACATATATTCATTTCTTTAGTGGAAAATTATTCAGGTAAATATACCTGCAAGTTAGTGATTTGAGTACACACACACACACACACACACTTCACACACTTTGATTATAATCCTAAAATTCAGTTTTATTTTTAAGATGAAAAATATGTTCATTCATTTGATAATGAAAGATTCTATAGATCTATTAAACATTTTATAGTTTAAAATAAATTTAAAAATTAAATTTCTCAAACATTTAAGCCATTATGTAATTCTTGAGATAGAATTGATCATTTTTCTCTCTGTGTCATTTGTAAATATGTTAGATTAAATAATTTTAATTATACTCACAGATTACAATTTAGCATCTTTTTTCCATTGTTTTTTTCTTGGATTATTTAAATTTAAATTTGGGTTTTATCTTTTTATATGACTTTTGGCTTCAGCCAGCTGAGTTTTTAATCATGGTTGTAGTGTCTGAAATCACTGGAAACTGTCCAAATGAGAAAAATAATATGAGACAGTTAAGTCCTAAGTAATTTCTATGTAAATCTATGGGCATTTTCTTCTATTAAAGACTTACTTTTTAAAAAATCATAACTTTCCCCTTTACCCTCCTATTTATTTACTTACTTTTATTTTCTATTCAAAAGTTCTGTGACTATTTTCTAAGTAGAAAAAGTTTAGCCAATTTTTTAATAACCTAGAACACATTTTATTACTAACTGGTAAGGAGTTACAGGACCCAAAGAGGAAATATTTTAATATAACTTAAAGCAGTGTTAAGTATGAATAAGCAATTATTCACCCATCACTGGTGCTGACTTTTTAAAAGTGGATAAATATGTAGATAAGTGGCAATGATGTTCAAAGCCACATTTTACCTCTGTGTCTCTCTGTGGTGCCATTGCTGTTATCACCCTCACCCACATTACTGTGTCTAAGTCTTTGCTAGCTAACAACTAGTAACAGTGTACCTGTCCTAACAGGAGTGAATGCCTATTATATTCCATAAGCAGCAAGGAGGGTTGCCTGCCCACCTGCCATCCAGCAAGAGTGGGGACCAGCTCTCTGGGTGCCATGGGTATTTATGAACCCAGGGAGACTTCCTCTGATTCACACGTTGGAGGGAGTCTTGAAAAATCTGCTTATGAGGGGAATGATTGCTCTTACATCAAAACTTCTTATTAATTCGAATAATTTAGGACACTATTACTGGTACCAGTGCAAAAAAAATTAAGAAATACTTCAGAAATCTAACAGTGACTTTGTGTATCCATGCTTCTATGCAACCTCTTCAAAAATCAACCAGATCACCAAGTAGACTGTGTTTGGCAGGCACAGTTTTCAAACATACCTACAGAAGACATCATAGTCAGTTCCCACTTCCCTGAACCCCTGGTCCTAAAGAATTTGACTTCTTTACATGTGGTGGGAATGTGAGTCTCCTTTTCTTGAGAGGGGAACTGTTATGTCTGTCTACCCATCTCACGCACCCCAACACACACTATTATAGGGGACATTGTAGATAATATTTTTATTTCTATTAGTTTTCCTCTAGAGAAGAATGAAGTTGGTGTATAGCCCCGCTTCCCACTCCAACACAAGCCCAATTTAAGTCTTAACATAGGTTTCTGGGGTTATATAGTGTTTTTATACTTTCTTAGCTGTAAGTGAACAGAGTTCCCACGTTTACGATCCTAATTAGGGCTTGAGATGGTCTTTTGGAATGATTAAAAATGAAAGCAAAAGAATACCACAATTTTGATAACTAATAAGTATGTAAACACTAAGAAAAAATTCAAACACGGTGAATACATTTTTTTAAGAAGGAAAATTGTGGTACCCTACAAATCCGGGGAGAGGAAGACTCCTATTTGAGGTTGTTCCGCACTGCTCCTCTGACACTTCTAATGTTGTGCTTTCACTAAAGCTCATAGAATTAAAGTTTGAGAAGTTTGATGTTGAGCGTGATAACTACTGCCGGTACGATTATGTGGCCGTGTTCAACGGCGGGGAGATCAATGACGCAGAAAGAATTGGGAAGTATTGTGGCGACAGCCCCCCTGCGTGAGTAGCACCTGTTTTATTTCATTAATATTTTAGGAGCTCTAAACTTGTTTCTTATTAAATTGCCCAATTATATTGTATTTTCTGGAAGATTTTGTGGTAGTGTTTTGTTCTCACATTCTTGGGTTCCATGGCAGTGGAGTCCCGTACATCATCAACACACAGAGTAGCCAACCCAGAGAGCGAGGCAACATTAGCAGGAGCGTAGAGAGGGCTCGGCAGCCAAACAGATAAACCAGAGTAGAGTTGGTGATGCCGCTGGGGCAGATGCTGAGCCAGAGACCTGACCTGGATACCTCACTGCCCTGCAAGGGGGGAGCTGAAGCATCAGAGTGGAATGAGGAAAATTCTAAGCAAAAACTAGGGAGCTGATTATCGGGAATCCAGACGAGGAAACCTGGAAGCTTATGACAGATCCAGGTGATTTTACCTGTCCTGGACTTTGGGGGCTTTACGCCGCCTCGCATTGTTGCTCAAATTCTTGCTGAGTGAGCCTGAAAGGTACTGTGTATTTGTCAGCAAATATTTATGGAGCTAAGAGCTCTGCCACTTACTAGATGCATGACACTGGGCAAGTTACTTAACTCCTCTGTGCTGTATTTTGGTGCAACACATGACTGTTTTGGTGCAAGGTATTTCACACCGTCACATACAGTACTAGGAAAAGTGGCAATGACATTACTACAGCTTGCCGGCAAAGTCACCACTGTGCCAATTTAAATAGCCTCTCTTATTCTGTTGCTTCAACATAATTAGAATATCTGCATCACTTGGTCTTACATGCATTTCTATGATTTCCCATAGACACATCTGAGTTAAAGCAAGATACTTTCCGGTTTAAATTCATTTATATTTATTATGTTTGATAATAGTAAGCATTTTTGATGTGGATTTTACAGTCCAGCTGTAAAATGTACATGGCATTGCTAGGGGAGGGGACAAAACTAAGACAGTTTTGAAGGAGAAGGAACCGGCAGGAGGATTTGACCACCCATGGTGGAGCCAGTTCAGAAAGCTGTTGTAATTAAGACAGTGTGCTTTTAACAGAGAGGTAGAAAAATTGACTAATGAAAACACCAAAGAGAGGCCAGAAACATATCCACATGTCTCTGCAGATCAGACATATCCCAGAGACGCACAGATCAGCAGGTAAAGGATGACCCTATTGAAGAATGAGGCAGGGACAACTTTTGCTTCTGTGGGAAAAATGAATTGTATTCATATCTAATAGCACACAAACGTCAATTACAGATGGATTGGGAACTGAAATGAGAATTTCTGCTCATCATAATACACCTTAAAGAGAGGGAAAAGAGAAGGCACAAAATGGAAACAGATATTTGTAAAATATTTGATATATTTGACAAAGACCTAGATCTAGGTTCCAAAACATATCAAGAAATCCTTAAAAATTATTAAGGAAAAGATAACAACTCAGAAAAAATGGACAAAAGACATGAAAAGGCATTCCCCAAAGAAGAAAGCTGCACAGTGAATAAATCTTTGACAAGAATGTAAATTGGTACAATCACTTTGGAAATCAGTTTGGCAACATCTAATAAAATTGAAAATAAGGACTTCCCTAGTGGCACAGTGGTTAAGAATCCACCTGCCAATGCAGGGGACACGGGTTCAATCCCTGGTCCGCTAGCAACTAAGCCCATGCGCCACAACTACTGAGCCGGTGAGCCACAGCTACTGAAGCCTGTGCGCCTAGAGCCCGTGCTCCGCAACGAGAGAAGCCGCCGGAGTGAGAAGCCCGCGCACCGCAACAAAGAGTAGCCCCCACTGGACACAACTAGAGAAAGCCTGCGTGCAGCAACGAAGACCCAACACAGCCAAAAATAAATAAACAATTTTTTTAAAAAATTTGAAAATGAGCTTGTATCCTCTGACCTGGTATAGAGCATATACCCTACTCTCCTGGTGGACAGTTTTGTCCCTGTGCATCACAAGACATATACAAGAATGTTCTCATTAATATTATTTGTACTGGGGGGAGAGTAAACAGCACAATGTTTATCAACAAGAGAATAGTTCGATTCTGTTATAGTTCACACTATACAGCCCTGAGCACAGTGGATGAATCTCACAGTTATAATGTTGAGGGTGAAAAAAATAACAGAAAAAGACAAACTATACTCTTTCATTTATATCAAGTTTAAGCAAACCTATAGAATATATGGTTTCACGATGCATATGTATGAGTAAATCTGTAGACGAAAGGAGAAGCACAAAACTCAGGGCGGGTGGGGGCAATGGGGATATCACTTCAGCATCCCTGTGCCTGGTTCAAATCAGTATCGATACCACTGGATTCAGTTCAGAAACATTTACTATATATACCCCAGCTGTGTGGCAGACACGATGCTAGGGACCTCGAACACAAAGATAAAATAAAAGATACAGAGGTAAGTAGTGGGAAGGACCAAAACAAGGCAGATAGGTAAATTGGCAACAGAATGTCCTGGTGGATTTCTGACAAGGAGTCCTTTGGTCCAGTCGGGACAAGTGGTGGGAGGTCAGGGGAGGCTTGGGAAAAGAGATTATGTCTCTTGAAGCAGAGTCTTGAAGCAAGAGTGAGAGTTAGAGGCAGAACTTAGGACAGACTCATTCCAAGCAGAGGGGACGCCGTTATTGAAGATCCACAGGGGAGATCTATGCTATTCTGGAGCCTGAACCTTGAGTGGGCGCCCAGAGAGCAAGGAGGCAGAGAGTGGAGTTGGGTTCCACGTCCTGCAGACGTGGGGACTCTCGAAGTGCAGTTAGGGGAAGTGACAGGACCGGTGCTTCTAGAATGCCCGCCGTAGACAAGAGGAGCAGGGAGCTGGCAAGGAGGCTGTAGCAGTGGTCCCGGTAAAGCTGAGGTGGTAGGGAAGGGTGGTAGAGATGAACAGGAGGTGGATCAAGGAATATTTAGGAGGCAAAATTGGCAGGACTTGGTGGCTGGTTGGCTGTAGTGATTGATGAAGAGGAAGGCTGTGGATGACAAGGCAGAGACAGCTCACATAGCCGGCTCTATAAGACACCGGTCAGCATCCTCAGTTCATTCTTGGGATTTGCCAGTGGGGAGTGGGTCCAAGTGAGATGCCCCCTTGCCTTCCTAGCGATTTGTAACATTAATTTGCAGATGCAGCACTCTGCCCTCAGTACATTTATGGCACTGTGACTCTGTCGCATTCACACTAAAGCTCAGTAGCAGCGTAACTCAGTAGCGGCATATCTTTGTTACTAAAATACTGTTCCTTGAGAAAATTCAGCTTTTAATATCGTGCTTCCAAGATGAGTTCATAGAAAAGGCAGTGAATGATCACTGTGATTATAACATCATGCCTAGAAGGCTGACCTGGTTGGATCTTAAAGTTTTCTTTGCTGCTTATAAGAAGTGCTTTTTGTAATTCTATCATCTAAACAAGATTAACGTGTCTTATTTGTACTTGCAGTTGAGAACTGTGTTTCCTGCACACTGTATTTATTCAATGGAATGTGTTTTCAAAAGCAAGATAAAATATTTCTGTTCCAGGCTTGATTCTTAGAAGCATTATTTAAATGACCTTGGTCACTTTTGTGACTGGAACTCTAAACGTGGGTCACAGAGCTTGCTCTGAGGTTTGTCTCGTCCCTTGGCTAAGAAGGCAATAACCTTCAGGACAGAAAAGATCCTGCAGTTTTTCTAACTGGTTGGGTCAAGTCCAGATCTACCTTCCCCTCCACCCACTCCACTCAAAATAGCTGACAGGTCGCCTCATTACTTACTATCCGTGAGGGCTAAGAAGTGATTCAGCTGAGAAGACGCCTCAAAAAAAGGAGTTTAGTCAAACCACCAATTAACTCAATTAAATAAATTTTCCACTTCTGAATTAAATAGTTTTAAAATAGAATTAGCCAAACAGCATTTTTAAACCGTTGTTTAAATAACAATAGCAAGATTAAATGAAACTACCGTCTTGTATAATATAGTTATCCCCTAAGATTTAACAGAGCTTCTGAGCCTCAGTTATTATCGCCACTAAACCTTTAGTACCAGCACGCCCCTAAAATTGCTTTAAAGTTAGAATTCTTAATGACGTCTTTCATGACCACCAGAACAAAGTAATCACTTTCTCTTTCTCCTTCACAGCATTTTGCTACCCAGATTATAAACAGAAAGGTTTTCATTTCAGGCACGCATAAGAACTCTCATTAACAATGAAATGAAAGTCCCATTAAACCCTGCATGGCTTTCTTATCCCTAGGTGACCAGCCCACTGAGGTGATCCCTTTGGTGGTGTCTTCACAGGGTGTGGGAATTTGTTCACCGAAGTTCTCCATCTGATTCCCCAGGGCCAGCCTCCCTAGCTCCGCAGGCCAGCTGGAACCCAGAGTCTTAGTTCAAAGAAGCTGTGTGGTTGCCAAGTCAGGCCAAACCCTGCGGTGCTTGTGAGGAACCAGCTGCAGCTTCAGTGTTTACATTGGTCCCAATGTCTACCAGCGTCTCTAAAGGCACCTGGTCCTTTCAAATGCTGACTCTCCCACATACTAACCGAGGGCCTTGGGCAAATCACTTGAACTCTCCGATCTTCACTTGCCTATTCCATGAAGAGGGGATAATAACAGGGTTGTTGTGAAGACAGAATTCAACAGTTTTCATAAAGCACGTGCCTAACTGAGCAAACATTCAGTAAATGTTAGCTATTCGCATTAATACTGAGCAGATTAAGACCATCATCTTTTAAAGTATTTCAGCTTTTCAGTTTAAACAAAGAATAACCTATCGTCAGAAATTGATGGAAAGTTAGAAAATTCTACATTTCAGAGAGGTGTCACCTAAATTTTTAAATATATATATAATTACATCTTTTTTTCTTTTAGGCCAATTGTATCTGAGAGAAATGAACTTCTCATTCAGTTTTTATCAGACTTAAGCTTAACTGCAGATGGATTTATCGGTCACTACAAATTCAGGCCAAAGAAACTGCCGGCAACTACAGCACCACCTGTTACCACCACCTTTCCTGTGACTACAAGTAAGTTTTTCTCATTTGAAGTTTGTACACAAACTTGAGGAGTATAAGAAAAATTCTTCTGAAGTAGAAAAAAAAAATTAAATAAGAGGAAAATACTTGAGACTAAAATAAGTTAAATAAGATGAAAACTTATGGACGAGAATAATATGATTCCATGAATTAAAGAAAAGTGTAAAAGGTGTAAGAATGCTTCTAAGCTAATAATTTTAAAATGTTACCTAAGAAAATTATGGTCACTTAAAAATGCTAGGAACCCTGTTTTGGCACAGATCATTACAAGCCTACTTTTTATTTCTTGGCACTTATAAAATTATGTGTGTGTTTTTTTTATTACATAGAACTGTAGTGTTTTAGGTTAAAGTTTCAGGGCCCTGATACCTGCCTGTTTTCACATCTGCCAGTATTTGGACTTTTTTGGGAGGGGGTATGCTCCAAAATGTGTCATACAAAATGTATTGTTTTTTCAAATTGGAGTAAATCAAACAAAAATATTTGAGGTATTATAGAAGCCAGTCAGGAAACTCTGGTATTATCTAAGAAATGGAGGGGCAAGTGTGGGTCCCTGTATCTTGTCTCTGTACCCTGTCAGCTCCACCCACCAGGATTTCAGGCCTGAGATTTCAAAATCTAAATCCAGGGAGGAGAAAAAAAGTGGGAAGGAAGGATCTGAGGTTAAGATATGAAATAGGCTGAGATAAACCCAGCTTTACTGCCCACCATTTTCTGCAGGTACCCTGAGCAAGGCTGTCCTGATACAGGCACTTCTAGAGGGGCTGATCTTTCTGAGCACTCCACAGTGTGCCACCTTGTGGCCTGCAGGTGTACTGCTGCACGTTACAGCAATATTTCTCCAGCCCATCTCAGTGGACCCTGGTGTCCTATTCTTTCCAGTGAATTATCTGTCTGCATTCATGTGGTTCCCCAGCTTTTACCTTGTGGTTCCCCAGATTTTATCTCCAGTCCTAAACTTTCTCTGAAATTTCAAACATGAATTTGTAATTTTCTCCTAGAGTTTTGCAACTGCTAGACATTTAAATTAAAACATATCAAATGTAACTCATTTCTATCACATTATTTTCTGTCTCAATTCTGCTTCTCCACCTGTTTTCCCAAGCATGGTCCACAGAAACTGTAGCCACACTCTTAGGGTCCCCTTCCTCTGTCTTAATTCCCCACCGAACGCCCCCCCCACACACACGCACACACACGCACACACACACACACACACACACACACACCAGACTGTGCCCTTCTCCCACTTAAATTCATTGTCTACACCTGTGCCTCCAATACAGCGGCCGCTGGTGAACACCTGAAATGTGACGAGTGCTACTAAAGATCTGAATTTTAATGTAATTAAAAATTTAAAAGCCTCTGTGGCCAGTGGCTACCATATTGGACGGCACAGGGGCCAAACCCCTTTGCACTTTGTACCTAGCCTCTCTTGCTAGGTTCATCTTTAGGCCCTACCACCTCACTCCTGGTGCTCTAAGGAGTTGGGGTTTTATCCTAAGTGCAGGGGAAGCTGCTGGTGGATTTAAGCCAAGTTCAGGATTAGATTCACACTTTACGAAGATCACTGTGTGAGGCCCCAGTGAGGTGAGTGGACTGTAGGGGTCAGGAGGGTCAGCATGTTCTTGGGGTTGTCCAGGGGAACTACACCAGACAGAAATACAGAGACGGTCAAGAGACACTGACAGTTATGCAGGCCAGAGACCTTGGGAGATACTGACAGGGCTCAGCGGTTAACTGGACTAGGGCGATCCAGAAGCATGCCTCCCGGGTCCCCGGCTTGCACAACTCAGAGGAACAATGTTACCATTCATAGAAGTAGAGTCATAGGTTGAGGGGTAGATTCCTAAGTTAAGTTGTGCCCTTGTGGGGTTAGAGGTGTCTGTGAGACAAGCAAATGGCGCCATTACGTAGACAGGAAGATCTACGGGCCTCCAGGCCAGAAGAGAGATTTAAGCAAGAGATTTAAATCTGAGTCTTCAACATATACGTGGTTGACACCATGGTGCAGAATGCGATTGCCTAGGGAGCGGTTACGGGGGAAAGGAGAACAAGGGCTGGAATTAAATCTCTAGAAACTCCAGGTCTTTAAAGAGGGAGGATCTGCTGGCAGAGAAGAATGAAAAGAGCAGCTAAGGGGCGGCGGCGGACGTGGGGGGAACCCAGGTGTCTTGGGGGCCGGGGAAGAGAGTGTTTTGAGAAGTGGGTAGTCAGAAGAGCCAAGTGTTGATGAGGCTTCAAACAACGGCAGGACTACAATGTTAGCATCTGATTTCATGACGTGGCGGCTACTGGACACCCTGGCAAGGGTTATGAATGGAGCTGTGCAGGCAGAAGCCAGATGAGGGTGAGGGGCGTGTGGAGCAAGGCGAGGAAACTGACACTAAGTCCAGCAACTCAGTCCACAGGTTCGAGCCTAAGGGAGGGTGTGAACATGGTAAAGCCAATGGGAAGTAGCCGGCACAGCAGGAGAACAGAAGGGCAGAGTGAAGGAATAAACTGTACAGGAAATTTCCACAAAGATGAGCGGGTCTGGCCTCCGGAGGACGCACAGAAGGACAGACCTTAGACCAGACGTGGGCAGCCTCCTCTCTCAGGGGAGGAAAGAAGAGAGGGGGGCAGATAAAGACAGCTCAGAGGTCTGGTGGGGCTTCAAGGACATTTTCTTCTATGATCTCTGTTTTCTCCAGAAAATAGGCAAGGTCACCTGCTGAGAATGAGACGGAAGGGAGGCTGGAGCCCCGGGGGGTTGGGAGACTCCAAAAAACAGCTGTGGAAATTGGAGACAGCTTGTCACTTGGACGAGGGTCCATTTGTGTCCTCAGCTGTCTACGTGCGGGCACAGAAGGAGAAGCAGAGGCTCCTTCAGGCTTTCTAAGGGTTGGAGGGCAGAGGGGAAAGGGAGTTTAACATATTTTCAAGAAAGTGAGATAACAGACCATGGAAATTAAGTGGAGCAGCTAAGGAAGTAGAGACCGGCCAGGATGGTGCGGTGGGAAGAATGCGAGGGGTCAATGTGTTGAACCTCTAAAGACAGAAAGCAAGTACTCGTGAGAGTCTGAGAGAAACTAAATAAGCTTGAAGGAGAGGAGGCTACACTGGCTGACAGGGTGTCACCCTTGGGAGACTGGTGATGAGACTTCAGCAGGGGGACATGGAAGCCTGGGACTGAGGGGCGGAGACGGAACAGAGGGAACGTCTCTGGGAAGGATGGGGCCGTGGCGGCGCCGAGAGGGATCATCCCCGAGGAGGGAGGACCCACCGGCACAGCCGCGGGAGCACATGGAGAGGAGGGCTGAGAACCAGGTGCCGTGCTGGGGAGTGCAGGGCAGCAGAGAGGACGGGAGCATGGCGAGGGTCAGGGTGGGACAGCTGATGGCTGAAAGGCAAGAGAGCAGGGATGTCCTGAAGGGAGAGAAGGGGCCGTGTGGGACACCCACCCAACCTCCAGACTAGCATTCTGAGGCCGAGAAGGAGCTGGTTTCCAGTGGCCCACGTGAAAAGATGCTCTTTCATCAGACAGGGAGAACCACTAACGCCACTACCTTTTGACTCAGCGAATGAGGTAAATTCAGGTCCCCAACTCCTGGAACAATAGTCCCTCTAAATGCTTTCTGAGCTCTTTCTCCATATGTATGCTATTGTGTTTATTTTACCATTAAACTGTGTGTATTTTAACATTAAATTGTATATATTTTAATACTATAATCCACTTTGGATCCTTTTTGGAGTTAAGTAGGGGTACACATTAAGAGTAAATTCACAGGGAGGAGATACGGGGATATATGTATATGTATAACTGATTCACTTTGTTATAAAGCAGAAACTAACATACCATTGTAAAGCAATTATACTCCAGTAAAGATGTAAAAAAAAAAAAAAAGTAAATTCACAGAAAAGTTAGCAGAACATATTAGCAGGGCAATATTACAGTTGTAAATTCTTACCCACCAAGTACTGTTCTGTGACAGCTTTGTTTAGTTCTTCCTAGCATGTTGCCACATATAAGTGAATCATTAGGAAATATTTTGGAAACTTTTTTTTTTTTTTTTGCGGTACGCGGGCCTCTCACTGCCGTGGCCTCTCCCGTTGCAGAGCACAGGCTCCGGACGCGCAGGCTCAGCAGCCACGGCTCACGGGCCCAGCCGCTCCACGGCATGTGGGATCCTCCCGGACCAGGGCACGAACCCGTGTCCCCTGCATCAGCAGGCAGACTCCCAACCACTGCGCCACCAGGGAAGCCCTGGAAACATTTTTAATGAGGATTATTTTCATTTCGTTTTATCATATTACAGTTTCTCAACGTTGGCACTATTTACATTTTTGGCCAGATAATTCTTTGCTGTTGGAGGCTGTCCTGTTCACTGTAGGATGTCTAGCAGCATCCCTGGTTATATACCCACTAGATGCCAGTGGCATCCCCTAGCTGTGATCACCAAAAATATTTCCAGGCATTACCAAATGTCACCTAGTGGGCAAAATCACCCCTGACTGAGAACCACTGTGGTTATCTGTTTAGTTGTACTTTCAAATTTGTCTACTTCTCAGTTCTTAAGATCCTTCTAGGCAATGAATAATGCCTTACTAATAATCCTTACAGGCTCAAAATAAATGTTTAGTGATTGGTTGCATCTAATTACAGCTATGACGTACCTTACCACATGAGCAGTGTTCCCAGAAACCTGTACTGCTCACATTTGGGCGACCGTGTATTTCAGATGCACCAAGAAAGCACCCTCCAGCCTCAGGGGGAGACCCATAGGATTCCTTTCGGAAAATGAGGAGTTAACCTACATCTCCTGTGTTCATATTTGTTGTACTGGGTTTTTCTAAGCAGGGCACATGAGACTGTATCTATTTTTGGTTACAGCATTAGTTATATATAAAGGAAGGAGAGAATAGGGCTAAATTTGGGTTATCTTTGATCTCAGGTTTAAAACTCAGCAGAGGGTATTGAGTTACCCTGAAGAAATTAGAGCAGGAGTTGATAGCATGAAGAGTTGCCTTTGCGTGCTTTTTAATTATTTCATCGCAATGACAGATTGGTGGCTCAGGGAAATATATGGGAATTTTAAATTGGTAGATTCAGATCTAAACACCAATTATACTTGAATTCATTTTCCTGAATCTTATGTCTTTCTTCTCTGAATGAAGGTTTAAAACCCACCGTGGCCCTGTGTCAGCAGAAGTGTAGACGGACGGGGACTCTGGAGAGCAATTATTGCTTGAGTAACTTTGGTAAGAAATAAAACCCAGCCTTTCCTCTTTAATCAGAAACCTGAAACCGCATGCTTAATCTCAAAGGAACTGCCGTGAATGTGATGGTAAAGGGTCAGTTACACTCTTCATTTACCCAAGAAAATATTTTCTTACACACTAGGGTATGTTGACTTGTGCCTTTTGAAGTGTTAGATTTCACACCTGAGAAAAATTCATGTACAGAAAATATACCTTTTCCACGTAAACTTAATAATTTGACTCCTGGTACGTGATACTACCGCTCTGTGTATTCTGGCTGGCTCCGTATTCCTGAAAAAACCTGTATCCCTTTTTTCTCACAGAGTTTTCATGTACTGAGTATTTTTTCACACATCTGTAATTCAACTGAAGTTAATTAGAAACATGTCCAAGCTGGCCTCTCTCAGAAGAAATTCAAGTATTTCCTCTGTAGTGTCTCCTTCCAAAGTACTAAATTAAAACTTGGAAATCTGAAATCCATTTGGAAACTCTTATAAACTGGAACCTGAGGAGATATTACCTAATGACTTAGAATTTCTAAGAGTTTTTTCCAATTAAAAAAAAATTGCACTTTCTGTGAAAACCACTTAAGAGCAAAAGATCCCAAGTTTAATTATGTTGGTTATGTTTAAAAGGAACATCGAAGAGAAGTCTTATCAGGAAAAGAAAGCTGGTACAGCCTTTAAATAGGTTACCCAGAACAAAGGGCCTCCCAGATGAGGCTTTGCTTGCTTTTTCTTATACCTTCAAGTGGTAACTGCAGCCCAGACGGACTATGTTGCAGAGAAGGTATGAAGGCACTAAAGAATCTAGGGCCCTAAATCTAACTGGAGTTTGCATGCCGGAATCCAAATAATGGCATGAAAATGAAAACCGGTAGCACGAGGTGTCATTGCTCCCACACCCAGTGTCGTCTTCTGTAGGAGGTGCTTAAGGAAATCTCGCTTCCTGTCCTCAGAGCCACCTGATTTCACTCGGCTACTGACTGACGTTTTGCAGTAAACACTCATGACCGAAAGTCAAAGTAAGGCATGAGAAGAATTCTGATGTTATGAGCTTTGCGTACCACATAAGCAGTGAGTTCTCACTTTATCCTGAAAGGGTCATATCAGCCAAATCCAAAACTCGATCTATTCCACTGTGACTCACTTCCATGGCAAAATGACCTAATACTATCATCAGTGGCCCATTGGTTCCCTACCAGCATTGGTAACACTCCTTTAGGGGCAGGTTTTGATTGTCACAATAACTGCCGGGTGCTACTGGTTTCCTGGGTAGAGACAGGATTCATCAGAAAGTCATTCGATGCAAGTCCTGCCTCACCTGGAATGTCCACTGCCCCCCTCCTCCAGAATGCCAAAAGCACGCCTTTGAGAAACACAGCATCTTTCTTTCTGTGGGTCAGAAGTGAGACTCTTCTCTGAGTGTCACATAGTAAAAAGAGAGAGTGACATAATGAAAAGCAACTGAATTTTGCTGGAGTTTTTTTTTTTTTTAAGCAAGAAAATGTCTCAAGCTATACATCAGTTCTATACTTTGACTTGTTAAATGCGTTAAACAGGATGGATAAAAAAGAGAATGTGAAAGACCCAGAAAAAGACAGATATTTACTGATCATTAGAGGGAGATGGGGATCTACGGATGAATCAAAGTTCAAGGAGAGAGCAGCTGGTATCCACTGAGAGAAGACAAATAAGGGATGAAGCGGGGGGTTGGTCTAAGGAACAAAAATAATTCTGTTTTTTGCTAACCCTGATTACCTTCACTGCTTTTATGATACTCTTTCTTGAAAGGGGCTTTTATTTTCTGACCTCCATCTTCCCTCTTCCTTCCCCCCACCTCCATCCCAACCTGCTGTTTCTAATTCTCTTTAGTTTCCTCCAGCACCTGCAATTGGTCATTTGCTGTGGAAGCCTGGGAGAAGGTTTAAGGGAGTGGATATTTGTAAGACCGATTCTTCATTTAATAAATGTGTTTTATAAAAAAAAAGTTCAAGGAGAGAGGCCAGCTAAAGAGAGGAACCAGGGGGAGACACAGAAAGGTAGGCGCTCACCCACACAGACACAAGGACTCAGATCTTCGTGGCTCAAACCCCCATCATGCAGCCTCTTAGTATGGTATTACCTCTAAAGATAAAAGGTCCTGTTGAGTATTCACAGGTAGAGGCGCATGAGCCCATCCCTTATTTGGTAATTGATCCATACGTTGGATAAAACATTGGAACGAGTCCTCGTCTCAGCAACTGACTGCAATTCGGCAGATATTTTGGTTTTCCTACTCAGTATCAACGCCTAACAGCTGCGGTAACATAACAGCTTCACGACTCATTTTTTTCAACCTGAATTTTGGTGACAAATGTACAGAATCAAATTCAATGGCTCTATTAGGACCTTCTTTCTAACATTAAAATGTTTCCCCTCTGAAACTTAGAGAAATGTACAATTACGTTCAGTTCTGCTTACACTTGCCTTCACTGTCCCATTATTTCAAAAACGTTTTCTTTTGCAGTCTTGGCTGGCACTGTTATCACCACCATCCCTCGAGGTGGGAGTTTGCACGCCACTGTCTCAATCATCAACATCTATAAAGAGGGAAATCTGGCAATTCAGCAGGCCGGCAAGAACATGAGTGCCAAGGTCGTCGTGGTCTGCAAGCAGTGCCCACTCCTCAGAAGAGGTGAGTCAGAGGAAAACTTCAGTCTTTCTTCCAGGGGAGCTCAGGAGCAGAGAAGGGGATGGGAGAGCCTCTCTGAGAAAATCATGGATCTTTCCATGCCATGGATGGTCTAGGGAAGTAAAGTCAGGGCTAATGTATTGCCCACTTGTGGTTTCGAAGGAGGGCCTTTGGAGTCAGCCAGAATTGGGCTCCAATCCCAGTTCTGGTAACTTGTGGAAGAAGACGAGGTAATGGAAATGATCAATGAGTCCAAGAAACGTTTGAAGTTGGATCAGTAGGGAACAGACAGAGGAGGAGCACATCAGAAGAAAGAGATTTTGAATTATTGCACTTAAGGTGCCACTACTGTGTGTGGAGGAAGATGTCCATCAAGGAACAGGAAATTCAGAGCTGGAGTTCAGAAGAGAGAGGTATCTATGGGCTAGAATGAAAGATTTGGGATTCATTTGTAGATATAGGATTATTAGATCCATAGATGGGGATGAGTTTATTAAGAAATTTTGGAAAAAGAAAAGCTAATTCAGAGCCAAAGGTACATGATTTTTTTTTTTTAAACAGGTTCTTTAACTTATAAAAGTAATGTATGCTCTATGTTTGGTTTTTTTTTTTTCGGTACGCGGGCCTCTCACTGCTGTGGCCTCTCCCGTTGCGGAGCACAGGCTCCAGACACGCAGGCTCAGCGGCCATGGCGCACGGGCCCAGCCGCTCCGCGGCACGTGGGATCTTCCCGGACTGGGGCACGAACCCGTGTCCCCTGCATCGGCAGGCGGACTCCCAACCACTGTGCCACCAGGGAAGCCCCTGCTCTATGGTTTTTAAAAAGTTTAAATAAGTAGAGAAGGATATAAAATAAAAAGTGAAGCCCTTTCCCTTTCACCAGAGGCACAATGAACAGCTCCTTCCACAAAGTTCAATCCATATAAAGCCTGCACATACACACGTGGAGAGAGGAATCATGCTACACATGTTCTACTGAAACTTTTCCCCCACGTGATGTATATGTGGACAGCTTTCCATCAACAGCACGTATAGATCTCTTTTTCGGCGTGGCAATAATGCCTGGCATTCCACTGTGCGCTATGCCATGATTTCTCTATCCAATATCAGCTCATTCCTTTCCTCAGTCTTGTTACACACCTCTCCTACAAGTGAAACAAACCAAACCTCTGCCACACACACACAGAAATATAGCATATCCACTTCAAGGAAGCTTTACTATGAATTCAGGTTGTTGAGAAAAGTCGGAAGGTGAGCAGCCTCACATTGACTCTTTAGAGGGAATAGCAAAGACTCTGTAGAAGGTAACACTTCTTTCCAGAACTGCCCGGAACAGCAAATAATGCACATCTAGACACAGTCAAATCTCGATGCTAGCAGTCCAGCCTTTCGGTGGCATCTACCTGCTCATCCTACCAAGCCTTCACAGGCTCAAGACCACCATCAAGTGATGCCAGTGTAGGCCCACAGAGGAAGGCCTATGCAAGAGAAAAAGAAACACGTATTTCTCTTATGACACACGGGGGAGAGGGAGAATAAAGGGGGTGGTAAGACACACTTCCTTTATGACATTTTTCTGAAGCAGTATAAACCCTCAGAGTTGAACCCTACATAGCTCAGCTTGGGCCCCAGTCTAGGCCTACCTTAGCCAGAAACACTGATGTATAAAAAATCGTGTAACAGAATAAAGTACTTTTTAGGACTTATCTTTTTGCAAGGGACTATAAGAATGGAAAGAAGTATATGATCCAACCATGCCCTCAACAAACTTACATAGTATAAATGTTGGAGATGTTAATAAAAAGTTCAAGACAACAACAACAGAAGACAATGGATCATTAGCTGCCAAATGCCTGGGGAGATCCAGAAGCCTTGTTACACCAGGAGAGGCCATCTGAAGCCCCTTGAGGAAGGAGAGCCTTTCACAGAAAACAGTGTATTGTTCATAGCAGACACTCAGTAAATACGTCAGACCTTCCGCAGAGCTGGACATGCCCAGATCGAATCATTCCATCCACTTTCCTAGTGTTAGCAGAGCTGGAACATGCTATTCAGTTACATTTAGATTTTTTTCCCAGTGAGAGTCTTAAACCAGATTTTATCCTAGATAGGATAAATGTCTAATTATACCATTTACAGAGCATTTACCTAGAGGTGCGTTATAGTCGAAGTTGTTTCAAACCAACACACAGAGAGAAAAAAATGAATCTTATTTTCTCTTTTAGGTCTAAACTACATTATTATGGGCCAAGTGGGTGAAGACGGGAGAGGCAAAATCATGCCCAACAGCTTTATCATGATGTTCAAGACCAAGAATCAGAAGCTCCTGGACGCCTTGAAGAGCAAGCAATGCTAACAGTGAACTGTGTCCATTTAAGCTGCGTTCTGGCACTGCCTTTGAAGGATCTATTTTTTTCTCAGTAGGAAAAGAAAATTTATAACCTGAAATATTGAGCATTCAGAGAGATTTACTCTTCACATGATGTAGGGAAGAGAGCTCCGGTGTCACTGATGGAAGTTCTGTTGCCTGCACAGAAGAGAGCCGATTGGAAACCTGCAGACTTAGTGAGGTGATAAGAAACTAAATGTATCAAGCATTGACAGTTTGGAAGCAGTTTATTTGCACATCTCTGTAAAAGGATATTTTAGAAATGAGTTGTGTGAAGATGTAAAAAAGAGATTTTATACGTGCAATATTTATAGTGATATTTGTTTTACCTTCAAGCATTTGCTCTGAGTTGTTATATTCTTCTCTTGCATTTTTAAAACCAGTGCTTAATAAAATATTTTTAAATGATTATATAACTGCCATTAGACTTGCTTTTATAGAAAGTGGGACACTGTCAAAAGAATATTCCCTGCTATTTACACATTAGGTTGTCCTTGTATCAGTTTATACTTTGCTAAAAGAACATTCCAAGAACCGCAGGGACTAGATGGACTCAGTAATGTAAACAGACTATAATTCTTCTCTGCAGAACCAGAGAATGTTAGAGCTAGAATGGTGTCCCTCAGGAATCTCATTCAGGTCCTTCATTTTGTGATAGAAATGGAAGCTCAGGTATATCTAGTGACTTGTGCAGAGCACACATCTCCCAAGAGACAGAACAGGCAATCTAGCTCAGAAGTCCTAATTCTAAACCCAGTGCCCTCACTGCCACTAGAAGAGGCCTTCTCTGCTCCAGAGGAAAACCCTCTTCCCTTGCAGAGTTCAGTCCTTGTTTCCCTAGCCTAAATCATAATTAGTTGTTTCATAGGACTTGAAATTAGAGGTGAGCCTGACAACGCTATTTTGTTAATCCCTAGTTAACTGGACGAGATTGTATCAGCTGGGATGCATTCTGCCATTGCCTTTGAAAGACCTCTTCTCACTCAGTAATGGAAGAACTGTGAAAGGGTTCCCATCGTTTGCACAGAGCTGCTTAAAAGGCAGCAGTACCTGCAATGATTGTGGCAACCAGCCCTCAGGAGGTTGCGGGCCAGGAGCTGCAGAAGAGGGAACAACCATCCCTATCCAAGGAAGGTAGAAAGAATACTAGGGATAAACACAGGCTTGGGTCACAAGGTCTCTCATAGTTGAAGCAAAGTTTTAGAAATAAGGGAGGATATTCTTTTGGGTGAAAACAATAACTCCCAGCTCTAGAAGTGACCAGACACTCAAAGAACAGAAAATAGAAGTTCAAAAGGTAGAATCCTGTTTGGACAGCTGAGGGAGCACAAGAAAGCAATGAATGGGGGCTGGTTGGCAGGGTCAGGAATCATTCCTAAGCTCTCCCACCAGGATGCCCATCAGTACCAGGGCACTCACCAGCCTGAGGAAGTGAATGAACTAGAGGAGCCTGTGGGTGGCTTCCCTGGCCAGTGCCACCTTTTAGAAAAAAGCCCTGTCAACTGGCTGAGGGCACAGGGCAGCTGTACCCAGCCAGGATTAGACTGTGGAATCCTGATGGATTCCAAACTTCTCTCGAAAAATCAGTACCTTTCAAGAATGCATGTTGTGGGACTTTGGGGTGACTACTAAAGATTTTAGCATGTCTTCTCTTTTAGTAGAACCTTCTTATTGGCGCACTACAGGCAGCAGGCTTGCAGCCATCAGCCTCCTGCACAACCAGTGAAAAGACTCCCATGGGTTTCTGAGTGGGGGCTGGAGTCACAGTAAAGTAAAAAGTTATCCAAACTATTCATACCACTGGCATCTCTGACACAAGACTTACAACTGTTGATGGGATTTAGTGATTAATAACAGATGGCAATGGTTTGTCTTTTAATTCAATTATTCAAAACAGACATAAACTAAATAGTGGCATGGCTCTTTCTGGTCCAACAACCATCCCTTAATTTCTTTTCTTGTTTATTACGTCATTTATTTTAACTGAACTTCAGTTTCCTTAGTTATAAATTGAAGGAGTTAGACCAGATGACTTCTGGGGTCCCATATTATTTTCTCTTTTAGGAATCATTCCTTTTAAATTTTTTGTTTCTTTTTAAAGAACAGTTGATAAAGTTTTGGTTTTGTTTTTAGGTGTTTGTACTTGGGGAATCAAATACATGTAACCAACAAATGGGTGACCGTACTAAACCATCACAAAACAAATTTCAAAATGATAAACCAGACTCTCTGATGTGTTTCACGGGGTCCTGCTCACTTAATTTTCATCCTTTGAATTCAATTCAATTCCTATAACAAAAACATAAGAATCTTGCAAAGTTCCCAAATCTTAAATTCTGTCATATTACTTACTCGATTGAAGGTTAAACTTAGTTGGAAGAAAGTTACCTTCTTTTTTTCCTTTCTGTAGGAAAGTGCTGCCAGGCTCCCATTAGACCTTCTGGACTACTAAATGAAATAAACTAATGACAAAATCTTCTTTAAAGAAAAGCCCTATAATAAAACAGCTACTAATCAGGAAGCTCTAATATGAGCTAACTAATATTAACCAGAAAATTCTTTTGCTTAAATGCATGGACATATTTATATGCATGCAAACAAATTTGCAAAAATAGTAAGTTCATGTGGAAAACAAACATTAAAAAAAAAGACTTGACCTAAGTGTTCTAAGCCCTTTATATTGAAAAAGAGAAGGATAAAAATATTGATTAATTTGATGACTTAAGGATTTACATTAAAATATCTAGGGTAACCATAAAAGAATACCGAGTTTGAAAATTTATTTTAAAATAGCAGAGGAAAAAAAGGTAAGAAATTAAAGAAAGTGAAATAAGGGAAAATAGAATAACATATGCTGGTAGAAATGAAAATGTATCAATAATTCCAATTTATATAACTAGACTAAAAAGTTAAAAGCCAAAGATTATCAGACTATATTAGAAAAACAAAATACAACAATATGCTATTTGAAAGAGACACCTAAAGCATAAGGACACAAAGAAGTTGAAAAGAAAAGGATAGAAAAACATAAATATACCAGGCAAATATTAACCAAAACAAGACTGAAATGGCTTTATTCATATTAGGGAAAAAAAATAGACTTTAAGGTATTTCTCAAGATGAAAGGGTTACAAGGAGATATAACAATTCTAAAATTTTCATGCAGCTAATAACATGCAAAGATATAGAACTAAAATATATATTTTATCCTTCAATATAATACAGGCTTCAAAATATATAACTAAGTCTGGCATAGTATAAATGGAAATTGACAAGTTCACCATCATAGTGGGAGATTTTAACACACTTCTCACAGTAATTGGCAGATTTAAAAGAAACAAAAAAAGATATAATTTTTTTAAATAACATCTTTACTGGAGTATAATTGCTTTACAATGGTGTGTTAGTTTCTGCTTTATAACAAAGTGAATCAGCTATACATATACATATATCCCCATATCTCTTCCCTCTTGCATCTCTCTCCCTCCTACCCTCCCTATCCCACCGTTCTATGTGGTCACAAAGCACCAAGCTGAAAAGATATAGATTTGAACCATACAGTTAACTAGATTTACCTGATGGACATAAAAAAGAACCAAAACTCATTTTTTTTTTTTTTGGCCATGCCACGCGGCTTGTGGGATCTTAGTTTCCCAACCAGGGATCAAACCTGGGCCCTTGTCAGTGAAAGCACAGAGTCCTAACCACTGGACTGCCAGGGAATTCCCCAAAAGCTCATTTTTAATCTCAGTATGGAACAACTTCAAAACTTGACCACTTACTGCACCATGAAACAAATCCCATTTAAAGAACTAGTGTCGCACAGACATCCTTCTCCAGCAACAATGAATAACTAGAAATTAATAGCACAAAGTACACAATAATTTAAAAAATAAGAAAAAAAACCCTGATGTTGGAAATTGAGAAATGTACTTTTAAGTAACTTGTGATCAAAAGGAAACTGTCATGGAAAATAGAAAATATTAAAAACTGAACAATAATAGAAACACTGAATTTTAAAATGTGTGGAATGCAATTTATAACCTTAAATGTTTATATTCTGAAAGAAAGGGTGAAAAATATTTTGTGACTGATACAAATTATGGAGGTTAGTAAAAGAACAGAATACACTTCTAAAAATTGGAGGAAATAAGCATACAAGCAGAAATTGAGTAAAAGAGAATCATAAATAGAGACAATTAACAAAATTAAAAATTGGTTCTCTCAAATGACTCATATAATTGACAAAACTGACAAGATTAAGCAAGAAAAAACGTAAAAAAGGACAAGAAAATGATTTAGGCATGAAAAGGGACCTTACAACAGATGTTAACGCACTCTCAAAAAGCAGTTAAGAGGATATTATGAGCCATTTATGTCAGAAGATTTGGAAACTTAGACGAAGTGGACAAATTCATAGCCAGGGGGTAAGGACTTATCACTTGGACTCAAACAGAAATAGAATACCTAAATAGTCTTATAACCATTAAAGAAATTCAATCCTAATTTTAAAACTTTCTTCAGATAAAACCCCAGGTCCAGACAGTTTTACTTAGAAGGTCTACCAACATCTAAGGGACGAACACCGCCAATATGACATATATTATTCCAGAGTATAAACAAAGAAGTAACACTCAGCAATTCTTTTTATGAGAGTAATATAATCTTAACATCAAAACTTCAGCAGACAACAGGATCTAAAACCACTAGCATGATTTTACTTCTGAGCATAGATGCAAAAACCCTAAACTAACTATTATCCAAAAAAATCCAGCAAACCAACCAAATAGGTGACAATCAAGCTGGGTTCATCTCAGAAATACTTGATTAATGTAACATTAGAAAATCAACGATCACACTTCACTGCATTAATAGAACTGCAATGCCAACTAGGGAGTCTTAGGGGCAGCTAAACATCCAGACTTAACAGTATCACAGGCCTCCCTTGGTACCAATATCCTCAGAAA